TATATGCGTCTATTACATAGAAACTCTTAGCTCTTGTGTCAGTTTACTGTAGAGTTAAACCATCATGTGTACTATATTTTACATAGGAATTTATTAGGATTCAAACATTTACGTGCCTGTAATGACGTTTTGAGATATCGAAGATGAATATACATTTGGACACTCATTTTGATATTTTTTGGAATACCATATTTTAATTTTTTTCAAAAGATTTATAAACATTTTGAAATTGATACTCTGCATAAACTCGTTGTTACATTATTCGATGGTACCATAAATGACTTTTGATATTTTTGATATGTGTATATTTTTATGATTTTGTCTTCAAATTCATCATCAAAATGACTTTCCAAGCAAAACGTACAAAGAAACGTCAAAATACAAGCATACAATTGTGTAAGATTTTTTTTTTGCTATAGGTAGATATTTAGTTGCGCGTTCTACTAGAGGACGCTTGTTTAGTCGAGTAATTGTGCGTGTGTGAAAACTATGTGTCCCAGTGTAATTGTCTCTTTCGTAATATTCTAGGCTAGATGTAATTTTTATGAATTAATTGATCACTTGTAGGACAAAATGGGAAAATTCCCTCTTCTGTTGTGTTCACTAGAGACCTGCAATTGGCTATAGCGTAAACGAAAACCAAAATTAGAATAGTTTCAAAGTAACACGAATTAGCACTCCAGATGAAATCAATAGTTTTTAGCGGAAAGTATACCATGGCAATCATTTTGACCTTATAACAGCGTACGGGAAGGGATGAAATTTTTTTTGCTTCACCATCATCCCATACTATCTCGGTGTAAAATCTCGATGAAAAATAATTGCTGTGACGTACTTTTCGCTCCACTAGACACCGACTCATGTTGTTTTCCCTCGATGATGTTATCATCGGGTCCGAGAACCATACCCATATATACACACAAGTAGAAAAGAAAAAAAAAAAAAAAAAAAAAAGGCGAAGGCTAGCAAGAAAAAGACACGGAGTGCGAGCAGAGGCCCTGGGGAATCATCGTTGAGATCACCACTGAAGATGCATCACCATTACTGCCCGACTGCAGTCGCACGGCCAAAGCCATTAGGGGTAAGACTCCGGGGCGAGTGATTCTCTGTATGTGCGTGCGTACCTTTTTCCTTCTTGTGCAGCCCCACTCTCTCTAACTTTCCTTTTCCAAGAGTCCGAGATAATTTACAACGTGGGAACGCACCGATGTAGAGCTATGGAAGAGTCGGGTGAAAGCATCGCTCGAGGGTCCATCGACCAAATTTTTTTTATTGCGTGTTTTTGACAACAACAAGGACGATGCTTTTCACAAACCTCACCAACTCTTTTCAAGGCTGCGTTGACCGATGTAGTGTAAAAAAAAAAAAAAAAAAAAAAAAAAAAAAAAAAAAAATAGGGGGAGCCAGAAACAATAGATATAGATGATAATGTGTGCAACCATATAAAACATTCGAGCGCCGACTCGAAGCTGTAGCGCCAGTATATATATAAATGTGTGTGTTTACTTATATTTAGTTCCATCTGTCATTAGCGACAAATAGGTGCTCCGCAATAGCGCTGTTGTATACCCCACATCGTTTTCCTTTCCACCGAGCATATTGATCTCTGCAGCCAGAACATGTACATATTATAACGAAATACGTAATTTTTAGTTTAGTTTTTCAACCCCCCCCCCTTCCCCTCTCACGCGTGTGCAGAAACGGAGTAAAAATAAATCTCGTCGCCGGGTTGGTTCGTGTGTGTTTGGGGATCGCGCGAATAGTCGAGACCTCGGCCAAACTGATGGGAAAAGTCGATACGCCGTTTGCAAGGCAACTCCGGTGGACGTTGGAAACTAGTCAACTCGGAAAGTTTCTGGGCATGTACAACGAGTGCTCGAGCGTGTGCTTAAATGCTCTTCGGAGAAAAAGAAAGAAAATCAAAGTTTTGATTATCACGCTCGAGTATGCGTGTCTATCTAGTGCATATGCCAGTCGGAAAAGAACAAAAGCTCGACTGGCTGGCGAAATTGGGTTGATACGGAGACTCCTTTTCGGGCGAAATACGAGGGAGGGTCGCGTCTGTTTGTAAAAAAAAAAAAAAAAAAAAAACTCGGAATACTGCGTAATTTAAATTTGCGTCTCTCGAGTTTGTGCAGCTTAACGAAGAAGCTCCTTCTCTCGGACGGAAGTGAGAATTAATATGCTTGTGCTTTGCGCCGGCAAGTTGGGAAATTCAGTTGCTGATGATTAAATGCCACCCCGAGTATCTGGGAGCGCGCAAATTGTACTTCTGCAGAAATTGCAAAGATCTAAAAATAGTACGTCCCGGTATAGCTTGTAAAGAGAATTTTTTTTTTTTTGCTCAAATTGTCACACTCTTCGGAACTAGCGCGACCGATGGACCAAGTGCTCGAGGACCCAATTAAATTTTCACGCGGGTTTCCTTCTTCCCACTCCCAATTTGTGCGATATTTCCTATCTCCTCCGATTTCCGTACATTTTTCTTTTACTGGTGTCCTTCCTATATTTCTTTTCCCGCTGTAAGTTCGACCAAAACTCCTATTCCCGGTATACCTGTACAATAAATTGACTCTCACTTCCGTACATTCTAGTCTACGTAGCGGATTTTTTAGCTCCACGGCTTGTAAATTTAGGATGTATAGGCTTGTGATTTGTTTTGTACAGAAAACTTCAATGATCTCATATTTCGAAACCGTGAGAAATTATGTAGATCGTCACGATTTTTCATACTCGAGTTAATACTGCGTGAGTATGGAAAATTTGCTATATAGAAAATTAGTACATTGTAACTATTTATTTGTATGATCGGTGAACAATTGGTTGTAATAATGACCAATGAGTAGAAATCGATGAGTAAACTAATCATTAGAAAAACGCGTGATTCGTCGATTTTTTATACATTGTGCGCTGTTGCGTGTAGCTTTAGACACATAGTGTATACATCGTATCATAAAGACTAGAATAGTTATTTAATCTCCGTAAATAGAACATAAATTACCAACATTATTATCACCTTCATCATCATCTCCGCCACATGTCATATCATTCGTTAGTCTGTATACTTTCAATCATCAGTCACGATTAATAAATAATCAGTCACCAACTACATTATACAAACTTTGAGTAATCATACGTTATTGCTGTATATTCACAAATTAACAAGATCAATCACACCTGGACAATAGCTCTAAATTTGATTTAGATTTTTGATTAAATGGTTGTGTATCGCTTGATCGAAAAATAAGAAACACCGTCGAATAAATGCCGATCGTGTTTCTTGTTTTTCATAAAGAAAAAAAAAAAAAAATCACGAAAAAAGTAGTTTATAGAAAAAAGAAAAAACAAATATATGCCAGCAGTAATAGCTAGTCTAGTCTAGTGGCTATACAATCCATGATAATTAGTATCAATGAAACAACACTTGGTGACTTAAGTAGCGTAACTTAGCGATTCGTGACAAAAAATAGAGTAGTAAGTAGTAAATTGCGGGCTTGGGTTTGTGTGTGTTTGTTGGGCTCAGGTTCATCACGGCGTTCCCGCAAGGCATAAGCCTGGACATGGATCTACGGACGTTGCGCGCGATACGCGTGCTGCGACCGCTCAAACTAGTCTCCGGCATACCAAGTGAGTAGTGCGCTTCAATTGCCGCCCACGACCGTGGCCCAATCAGCCAATTACCGACACATTCACGACACACAATCGCACACTATATCATGAGAGATACCCTTCGTTACTCAAACTTTATACTTGTATATCAAACTCTAACTGTTGTTGCTTTGCCAAGATAATTGTTTGTGCTTAATATATATATATATCATAGAAACATAGATTCTTTTAGTTGATTTCAATATTAGTTGTGTCCATTATATTGAACATTAGATTGACTTAGAAACCAATATCGTCAACGCTGAGATGTTACATAAAGATGGCTGATGGTATCGATTTCTAATGACAAATTTAGAGAAAAAAAAAGAAAAAAAAAGAAAAAAAAAGAGTAAAGTATATTCGTAGCGGTAACAAATTTAGTCCGTATAGATTATGATTAGAGTATAGTGATAAACTTGTAGCTGGCGCTACGAGAGAGTGGCAAAAGCTTGTACATAATTATGGAATGATGGGCACGCCTCCGATGGGAGCTGATACGGTTTTGGTTTGACCAGGTCTCCAGGTGGTGCTCAAGTCGATCATCAAGGCGATGGCCCCGCTCTTGCAGATCGGCTTGCTCGTCTTGTTCGCCATCGTGATATTCGCCATCATCGGCCTCGAGTTTTATTCGGGGACCCTCCACAAGACGTGTTACAGCATCGAAAACGCCAGTAATTGACCAATCATACCTATACCTTGTTGTCGCTCTCTACTTCTTTTTGCACCGCACGCGGGTCTCCTCGCATTGAGAAACGAGACGACTAATGTGTTTTTTGTTTTTGTTTTTTTTCTCGCCACCGGCAGATCTGATCGTTAAGGAGGGCGAGCAGCCGAACCCGTGCAACACGGACAACGAGTCGGAGGCGCCGCTGGGGGCGCACGTGTGCAACTCGAACATCTCCAAGTGCTCGGATCGCTGGGACGGGCCGAACAACGGGATCACCAGCTTCGACAACATCGGCTTCGCCATGCTCACCGTCTTCCAGTGCATCACCATGGAGGGCTGGACTGCCATATTGTACTGGGTAACGCAAGAAATATGTTCATCAGTGTTACCGAAACAAACAATCAATACTGTTGATGACGGATAATATAACAAGGAAAATGTCCAAAAGAGCAAACGGGGCAGCCAGCGACCCTTTTTGCGCTGCAGATGCTCTTTTTTCTGTCCATTTTACGCATTTCTCTCTCTCTCTCTCTCTCTTTTTTTTTTTTTTGCTTTCTCGGGACAAGGTACTCATAAATCGCGTGAGACGGAAATTACCTTTTATTTTATTATCATTTCTTTTGTAATCTCTGATGATATCATTTTTAACATTGACATAGTTTTTTGAAGCTCGTTAACCGGAAAAACTTGATCCTACGGTAATAGTGACATGTATCTACCCCGCGTGGATTCTGACGAAAAGGAGATTTTGTTTATTCGTTAACAATATGATTTTGATAAGATTGTTGAAAAATCAACTTACCGTATATAATTAGTTAAGCGAAAAGTATAAGTGGATGTTTTTTTTTTTTTTTTTTTTTTTGACAATAGTACAAAATGATTTTAATTCGTGCAATATCAAGCTTGAGGAGAGAGAAATGCGCGAAACATCAAAGTTGTTTTCTACACTGTGTGCACTCGATGTACTCGAATGAAAATTGAAAAAAAAAAAAAGTTTCCGTGTTCTCGCTTATTTATTTTTTTTTTTTCCAATATCGGTGTTTTTCTTATGATTTTAATGTCTAGATTTGTACACAATGTTAAAATGTCAATGGTGATGTTTATGTTTGACTTATGAAACATTTGTGCGAGAATTCGTGCCTGGCGCTTAATTTACCCTGACAATGCACTTCACACGTCACACCCATACGACCAATTGATCCGAATGCATGTGGCATATAATTACTGTGTGTATACCGTCACACGAACACTGGCAATTTTGCATGTATACGCAATGCCGCGATGTACATTTATTTCTGTGTCTAATAAATTGATACACGAGCACGAACCGCGACTACCAAATGTATATGGTTGCAACCACGTTGATTCTTCATTGTTTATTTACTTTAACTGACATTTTTTATTTTTCCTAAGTTTCAGCAATCAGGTATTTATCATGTTTATTTTACGACTTGATATTACTTTCAAGCTATTGACGTATGATTTGAAAAAGAAAAAAAACAATATCTATTTCCAACACGAGTCGCTATACTGTTGAATTTAATTTTTTCTTTTTTTATCAAGTTACGAAAAAAATAGACAGCAAAGAATCGACTGCGGAAGCACATTAAGCAAGAAAGCATCAAACGAAGCGCTGTACATTGACACACACACGTTTCTAAAGGGGATTATCCCTGTATCATCGGGCACGTTACAAGTATAGACTCGAGCGTTAGTTGTACGACCGTTACCCACCAATTTGTAATGTACAAAAGAGCCTTGTCGTCCCACGCGATATATATGCACACGCGTACTACTTCTTTATGTGATGTGCTCATATATAATATATATACGCACTATTCGAGCAAAATATGCTCAACAGGCACGATTTCTCCCTCTGTTGTATACGTACCTCTCTTTCTCAGTTATGTCTTACATATTCGTCATGTGTACATGTTTTACGGTTCTATTTTCTTTGTTTATAGGTTCATATCTCAGTGTTTCTTTAAATCTATCTTTTTTTTTT